TGCTGTGGCTCAAAGTGGTAAAGTGCCAGCTTTCAGCAAAAGGAGCTCATAGATAGCGTCTAGGCTATGAGCTCAAACCCAATGACTGGGGGCAGAGGGGGCCAGGGGGGAGACAGGGATGGAGAACAGTAAGAGAAAGCAACCCACTCTCAAAAAGAAGAAGTAATCAGTAGACTCAGACTCAGTCTCATTCAGCCCAGTTACTGCAACTATCAGACAGGAAACTTATAATAACAATGATTAAAATGTTAAAGGGGCTGGGCCCTGGTGGCTCTCACCTGTAATCCTAGCTACTCAGGAGACTGAGATCTGAGAATCATGTTTCAAACCCAGTCCAGGCAGGAATGTCCGTGAGACTCTTATCTCCAATAAACTGCTCAGAAAATTGGAAATGGCGCTGTGGCTCAAGAGGTAGAACACTTGCCTTGAGCTGAAGAACTGAGGGACAATGACCAGGCCCAGAGTTCAAGTCCCACAACTGATAAAAAAAAAAAAGTTAAAGAGTATTACAGAAGTTAGTGTCTCTTAAAATTTGTATGCTGAAATCCTAATCCCCTATGTGATGGTTTTAGGAGGTGCTGGCCTTTGAGAGGTAGTTGTCATTAGACAGAGCCCTCATGGGCGGGATAGTGCCCTTAAAAAACTCTCTAGCTGTCTTCTTGCCATGTGAGGATATAATAAGAAGTTGGTAGTCGCAACTCAGAAGGCTTTCACCAGTACGTGACCATGCTGGGACCCGAATCTCAGATTTCCATCTTCAGCACATTGAGAAGAAAATTTCTGTTGCTTATAATCTCTCGATCTATAGCACTTTGACATAGTAGTCCAAACAAAGACAAAAGAAATGTTGGGAAGTAGAAATAATATACATGAGTAGATATGAAAATTTCAGTAGAAATTTGAAGCTGGCACCAGTGGCTCACACCTTTAATCCTAGCAACTCAGGAGGCTGAGATCCTCAGATCTCAGTTCAAAGACAGCCTGGACAAGAAAGTCGAAGAGACTCTTATCTTGAATTGATCACCAAAAAGTCTGGAAGTGAACCTGTGGTTCAAGTGGTAAAGTACTAGCCTTGAGCACAGAATCTTGGGGACAGCACCCAGGCCCTGAGTTCAAGCCCCAGGACCTGCACCAAAAGAAAAAGAAAAAGATAGACAGAGGGGGGAGGGAAGAGGGAGGGAGGGAGAGAAAGAAAGAGAGAGAGAGGAAAGGAAGGAAGGAAGGAAAGAAAGAAAGAAAGAAAATTTGAAGAGTATCAAGTGTCAAATGGAAATACTAAAAATAAAAAAAGGAAACTAAGCCGGGTGCCAGTGGCTCAGCTAGGATTACAGTGGCACCTGTAATCCTAGCTACTCAGGAGGCTGAGCTCTGAGGATCCCGTTCAAAGCCAGCCCGGGCAGGAAAGTTCCTGAGACTCTTATCTCCAATAAACCGCTAGAAAACTGGAAGTGGCGCTGTGGCTCAAGTGATAAATTGCTAGCCTTGAGCTGAAGAGCTGAGGGACAGTGCCCAGACCCAGAGTTCAAGCCCCACGACCGACAAAAAAAAAAAAAAGGAAATTGAGATAAAGAATGACTATCATGAGTTTATCAGTAGACTTGATAGAACCAGGATGAGGAGAAAAATTATTGTACTTGAAAACAAAATATTAGAAATGATCCCAATTTAAACAGAAATAAAAACTGAAAGGAGATGTACTTAAAGTCATGCAAAAACTTTTTAGCATTTTTCTCACATGGGTGTATTTTCTGATCAGAAATTATTCACATTACCAGCCCATGCAAAATATGCTCATTCCTATCCTCCAAATATCTCATCCAAAATTATGACATCAGGCTTAAATCTAGGATATCAAACCTGTATTTGGTTCAGATGTGGCTGAGGATCCTTGAGTGATTTTTCAGTTTCTTGATTCAGACACCTGTGAGCTAAATGAAACGTTAAAAGAACCCTCTTCTGAATACAGATACACACACACACACACACACACACACACACACAGAGTGCATATACTAATATTAGGATAGAATAGCTGCAATACACATTCCCATTCAAAAACAAGAGGAAAGAAAGATTGGTTCAAAATAAGACAATTCTGAAATCCCATGGAGTAAATGATCAGATCCTCTTGTCTACAAGCAGATAGTGCTTCATGATTGGGGCACAGTTCTCCCTGGGAATGGCTCCTCAGTCCATGTTCATCTATTGTTCTTAGGTCTTTCCTCTGATGTCCTTTATTTACCACAAGAAACAGTCCATATTTGCAGCTGAGCAAAGTTCTTGGTTTGCATCCTCTTCATAGAGGCTAGGGAGGAAAGTCCAGAGACCATTTTCAGTCCCTTTAAGGACAATCTGGAGGTAGTTCCACTGGTAAAACTCTATTCAAAACTTTATAGGTTTTTCTATGAATTTTGTTGGATCTAGCTCATGCTCCAAATGTCACACTAACAAGTTTTTTTTTTAAGATAAGAGTACACATAGCAGTATGTCAAGCCACTGTGGGATATTGTTATAAAGATTTTTTTTGTTTGGTATTGGTCTTGGAGCTTGAACTTAAAGCCTAGGCACTGTACCTGAGCTTTTTTGCTCAAGGCTAATGCTCTAGCATTGAGCCACAGCTCTACTTCTGGCTTTTTTCTTCTTTCTTTTGCTGGTTAGATAGAAGTAAGTTTCATGGACTAGGTCTCCTGAGTAGCTAGGATTACAGGTATGAACCACCAGTGCCTGGCTGTTATGAAGATTTTTAGATGCTTATTTTTGGTTGTTTCTTTTTGTTCAGTTTTATTTTTTGTTCGCTGTGGGGCTTGAACTCCAGGCCTGGGCGCTGTCCCTCAGCTCTTCAGCTCAAGGTAAACGCTTTACCACTTGAGCCACAGTGCCACTTCTGGTTTTCTGGTGGTTAATTGGAGATAAGAGTCTCATGAACTTTCCTGCCTGGGCTGGCTTTGAACTGCAATCCTCAGATCTCAGCCTCCTGATTAGCTAGGATTATAGGCATGAGCCACCAGCACCCAGCTTAGATGCTTATTTTTAAATGTTCATTAGTTACTGACTCGCTCCAGCACCAACATAACACAATATCTCACACTATAACAAAGAGTCTTATAAATACTTATTATTATTGATCTTTACCCTGAGGCCATTTTTTTAACATGGCAAATAGTTTGATAGTAGAATAGATTATGTGAATCTGTTATTTCCCAACCTAGAAACTCCTGACTTTTCCGTATTTGGATTCTGCTGCCAATGGAGGTTTTCTACTAAATTTTTTCTCCTTCTGTACTTTATCATGTATATCTAAAGAAGCAAACTGACCCTTTTTGTATTCTACTGCAAATCCCCTAGTCAGATCCACAAGTTCCATTTGGTTTAATCTCTATCTTCCCACAAGGATAATAACTGTTTAGCCATTTTCCCCTTACTAAATACTACAGGCTGCCTTGCTAAGTTTTCTTACTGTTTTTCTGGTCTCCAACTGCTGCAAAGGCCCAAAGACAGTGCCACATTATGTTTTGAGAAAATACTCTCCACGCACATATACAGTTATATATGTGTTATTGGAGTTTGACCTCAGATCCTCAAGATTGCTCAGCTTGCTTGCCCACAACTGGCACTCAACCCCTTGAATCATACATCCAGCCCTGCTTTTTGCTAGTTAATTGGGGATGGAGTCTCGGGGACTTTTCTTCATGGGCTGGCCTCAAAACATGATCACCCATATCCTAGCTTCTTGAATAACTAGAATTACAGATGTGAGCCATCAGTACCTGGCAAAATTATGTTGTTCTTTTTTTTGGTGGTCATACTGGAGTTTGAACTCAGGGTTTCACACTTTGTCTTACTTATCTAGTACTTGACCACTTGAGTCATACTTCCAGCCCTTACACATATATACTTTTATCGCTGCTTAGCATTTGCATGTAATAAAACAGCCCAAAGTATAACTATTCAAAACAATGAACATTTTATTTGTCTCACAATTTTGTGTGTTGGCATAGATAACTGATACGGCTTTTCTGAGCTTGGCTGTCCTGAGTGGATCTGGAGGTCTAGCAAGGCCTCGCCTCATGTCTGACAGTTGGTAGTATAAAGGGTCTCGTCTAGGCTGGCTTGTCTTTCTCATCTCCCTGTGGAGCAATCTGAGCTTATTCACATAGAGGTCCCTAGATGCCAGAGAGCAGCAAGAAAGGCTAATAAGCAAGGCAGGCTTTCATACTTCTCAAGCTTCTTTTTCTAGGGACTTAAGACAGCACAGATATATTGTCTAACATCCCATAAACCAGAAGTCTAATATGGCACTTGCTGGGCTAAATACCAAACAATGTCAGGGCTGTGTTATTTTCTGAAAAATCAAGCCTCTTCTTAAATCTTCACTAATGACCATTGTCCAAAGCAAGCTTCACAGCTAAGTCCAAAGTCAAGAAGCAGAGAAAAAGAAGCTACTTCTTACCAAGAGAAACAACAAACTGACATTGCAAAGGATCATGCATGAAGGGTTGGGAGGAATCTGTGGAGAACTTTCTTCATATCCACAGTCAAAGAAGATAGGAATGCTATGTCAGGTATTCCACTGTAATTACACTAATATGTCTGCACATTGGGTATCTAGAAAAAAAGAACTTTAACTGTTCTTCCTGTTATGAAATGTGTCTTGCCATAAATACAGAACTGAGAGGTTTACATATCAAATACATTCTATTCTTATTCTTCTTTTCATTTGTGTGGTACTCTAGAGTATCAATTTAATGTTATTTATAAAGTATAAAGTAGTTATAATAGTACACACACACACATTAGTGTCCTGATTTTGCATGGTTTTGCACGGTTTTTGCATCTTTCTTCCTATAGAGATAACAACTTGCCTTGTTATGCTTCCAGCAGAAAAGCTTTTCCTAATGCATCAAGCCTATAAATCCAATTATATTTTGCAAGGCTGTGCAAGCATGGAAACTCCCTTCTTCTGATGCATTCTTACAGGGTACTTTTTATGTCATTTTTTTCTCATCTTGGGTGAGACAGGCTAATGAACACTTTCTCAGACAATGCATTCATGAAGGATTGGTCTCAGGTGAATGGTGTAACGTACATATGGGCCAAGCATCTGTGAAGAGGCTCCCTCTCTTTAGGAAATGGGATTTACTTTCAGGAGTGAATATTGCGATGCATACTGAGCACTGATTTCTGGGTGAAGCCCTTCCCACAGTCACTGCACTTATAGGGCTTCTCTCCAGTGTGAATGGTCTGGTGTTTGTTGAAATTGGACCTGTCGGTGAAGGCCTTCCCACATTCAGCACATATGTATGGTTTCTCCCCAGTGTGAATTCGTTGATGCACCTTCAGATGTGGTTTCTTGGAGAAGGACTTCGCACAGTCAGGACATTTATAAGGCTTCTCAGTAGTATGGATTCTTTGATGTGCAGTTAACTCTGCCTTATGGATGAAGGCTCTCCCACAGTCAGCACACACATAGGGCTTCTCTCCAGTATGAATGGTCTGGTGTTTGTTGAAATTGGACCTGTCCGTGAAGGCCTTCCCACATTCAGCACATATGTACGACTTCTCTCCGGTATGAGCTTTTTGGTGAGTGTTGAGATTTGACCTGTTGGTGAAAGCCTTCCCACATTCAGTGCATACGTAGGGTTTTTCTCCTGTATGGACTCGCTTATGCATCTGGAGTTGGGACTTGGAGGGGAAAGACTTGCCACAGTCACTGCATGAATATGGCTTTTCTCCTGTGTGAATTCTCTGGTGAGCAATCAAGTGGGCCTTCTGGATGAAGGCCTGGCCACACTGGGCACACACATAGGATCTCTCCCCCGTGTGAATTCTCTGGTGCATTCTGAGTGTTGACTTTTGGGTAAAGGCTTTCCCACACTCATTACATTTATGGTGCCTCTCTCCAGTATGGATTTTCTGGTGGACACTGAGGGCTGAGTTCAGGGAGAAGCCTTTCCCACACTCACCGCACTCGTAGATTTTTCCTCGGGTATGAGTTGTCTGGTGCCTGAGGAGAGACGATGGTTGGAAAAATGATTTCCCACATTCACTGCATTTATAGGGTTTCTCTCTTGTGTGAGTTTTCTCGTGCACCATTAATTCTGAATTTTGGAGGAAGGCCTTTCCGCATTTTGTACATATGTACAGTTTTTCATCTCTGTGTACTCTCAGGTATATGCTGAGTAGTGGCTTCTGTGGTAAACCATTTGCACATTTGCTAAGGTCGTGATGTTTTTCCACACTGTGAATTCTTGGAGGTGTGAAAAGGCGTGATTTAGGGGTACAGACTTTCCCAAATTCAGTACATGTGTTTGCTTTCTCCACAATAGGAGGCTTTTCATTTTGTTTAGGGCTAGAGACTTTTCCACATGGATTACTTCCATAGAATGTCACTCCTGCAGGTGAATTTGCATGGTTAGTATAAGAAGTGCCCTGGGTAAAAACTTCACCTTGCCCAATAATTTTATCTAAGTTCTCTTCTGAACTGTGTTTATTATGAATATGGACATCTAAATTATGTTTAAAATGCTTCCCCAATGAGTTAGGTTTGGGGGGTCTCTTCTGTACAGGTGTAAGTTCTGGACTTGGAAGTACATATTTCCTCATGTCTGTATATTTGAATTCCCACTCTGTACTCAATGTTTTCTTAGTGAGGAAAGCAGCATTGCTCAGCAGCTTTTTCTGGTTTTCCTTACACCTTTGTATCTGTTCAGCATCTTGCCATAGGTCTTCTAAAATGGAATACAATGGATCATCTCTCCTATGATCAATTTCTATTTCACTATGAAATGGATTTTGGCTGGAAATTCTTTTTTGTGAGTTCTTGTTCCCAAACTTGCCATCTAAAGGGGAAGAAGAAAAAGTAAAATTGACATGAAGAATATCTAAAAATAAGTGCCCATAAATAAATCCCAGTTGAACACCTGAAAGTCAGTAAAGATGATGATGACAGTGACAATGGCAAAGGTTATCAGAAATACATATAGATAAATTTGTATTGCTGACCTCTTCTGTGACTCCTCTACTAGCTCAGGCATTGTCCTGGGAAAATCATACATATGAATTATATAATACCTTCCAAAGTTCTCTTTGTCTACCTTCTGTAGACAAGGAAAGTAAAGTTCTTAATTGTTATATGATTTGCCAACACACCTGGTTATAAAGTAGTGGAAACTGGAATTTAACATAAGAGCTTAGTTCTATGTTAGTAGGAAGCTTGGCTATCAAGTAGGTTGAATCAATAATAGATAAGACAAGGATTTGGGCCAAGTGTAGTAGCTCATGCCTATAATCCTAGCTACTCAGGAAACTGAGATCTGAGGATCATGGTTCAAAGTCAGCTTAGGAAGGGAAGTCTGTGAGACTCTTATCTCTAATTAGCCAGAAAAAAAAGCCAAAGTGAAGTGTGGCTCAATTGGTAGAGTGTCAAACGAGTAAAATCCCAAGCAAGAACATGAAGCCTTGAGTTCAAGCCCCAGTAATGGAAAAAAGGAGAGACTCCATCTGTGGTAGAGTCAGACAACTGTCGAGTAGGGTATCTCCTCATTTGTTTGCATTAAAGGAATATGGCTGCCTAACCATACAACATTTTTCAGCCTCCTTTGTAGATTGCTATGGCTATATGGCTACTTTTCTGCCCACTGGAACGTGGAATTAGCAGCAACACAAGATCAAACAGGTAGATTCTAGAAAAATCTAAAAGATGGTGGATTACTGTACTGAAGAAGCCTGGATTCTGGAATAAACATAATAAAAATGTATTCCTCTATAAGAGGAGTAAATTTATTTAGTAGTTAAATCGATGTATCTCATAATCTCTTCGTTACTGCAAATTAACTTTAACATAATTCATACAGCACGCCCTTCGAGAGTATGGACATTTCCATGAGGTACAATAGAGTCTTCTCTTTTCTTTTTCCAGTGTTGAGGATTGAATCCAGGGCCTTGCACTTTCAAATGCTTTATCACTTCAGCCATGGCCCAGCCTTTTTATTTGTATTTTCCTTTTAAGATAGGATCTCCTTAATTTTGCCAGGCTGGCATTCAATTGAGATTCTCCAAGCCCTTCCTCTGGGTTACAGGCCTGCACATCACACTTGATACTTGATATCATTTTAATATAATTTTCATTATTTTTATGTGGTTGTTCAAAGAAATTTCAATTCAACATAAATACAATGCATCTTGAACAATGTCACCCCCGCTATCATTTTTCCCCAATCTTTCTCAACCCCATCCATTTACTATCATTTTAATGTCTATGAAATTTGTAAAAATAAATTGGATGCCTATGGCTTATGCCTGTAATCTGAGCTACTCTGGAGGCTGAGAACTGAGGATAATAGTTTGAAGCCAGCCCAAGCAGGAAAGTTGGTAAGAGCCTTATCTGCAATTAAACACCAAAAAGCTGGAAGTGCAGATCTGTGGCTCAATTGGTAGAGCACGAGCCTTGAGCACAATATCTCAGAGACAGCCCAAAATGTAAAAAAAAAAAAAAGCTTCTTTTATTTATAGCCTTGATAATATGTGCTTTCTTTTTCTTTCTTGACTAATCATAGTTATTAATTAATAGTACTGATCTTTAAAGAACCAAGTTTTTATGCTCTTGAGAATGGAACCAAGGGTCTTGCACATGCTAGGCAAGTACTTCACCACTGAGCTATACCTCAAGCTACTCACAGAATCAACTTTTAGCTTTCTTAGTTTTCACTAGGGTATATCTTGACTTGAAAACAAAAGGAGGGCTGGGAAGGTGGCTCAGTGGTAGAGCGCTTGCCTTGCATGCATGAGGCCCTGGGTTCGATTCCTCAGCACCACATAAGCAAAAAGAAAAAAGCCAGAAGTGGCACTGTGGCTCAAGTGGTAGAGCGCTAGCCTTGAGCTGAAGAGCTGAGGGACAGTGCCCAGGCCCAGAGTTCAGGCCCCACAACCGGACCCCCCCCCAAAAAAAAGAAGAAGAAAAAGAAAAGAAAAGGAGGCAGAATTTAGAGGAGAGTTAAAAGTTGGAAGTAACCAGTATGCAAGTGCTTCCCTCTTTTCATGAGTTCCTGTGGAGTAACTATACTCTTACCAAGAGTGTGGAACCACTGAAATTTCTTTAAAATCTTGTTATCCTTTTGCCAGAGGAATCAGGAGAAGGGGGACAGGGTGCCCAGGAGCACAACCCCCAAAGGAAAAACAAAAAGGTATAAACCCCAAATACCATATATAAACTCTGCCTGACACCCCCATGCTGCATGGACTGGGCAAACAGAAAGCAAAGTGGGACTGAGAGCTGGGTGCTAACACTTAAAGTGAGACTGTGTTTCCTGTTTGAGTCCAACATAGTTAATTGCCTGCTACAACAAGAACATGAGATGCTTCAAAATAATGTGACCTGTGGCTCAAGCCTTGTAATCCTAGCTACTTGGGAGGCTGAGATCTGGGATCACAATTAAAAGGTAACTAAGACCCAAAAATCCTGAATTGGAGCTGTGTGGCTCAAGTAGTAGAGCACTAGCCTTGAGCAAAAAAGGGCAGAAATAGCACCCAGGCCCTGAATTCAAGCCCCAAGACTGATACAAAAATTCCCATCAAGAAAATTTCAGATCCCAGCACTCAAGAGGCCTGGACAATAAGACTGTAAGTTTGGGTCCGGCTTAGGCAACATACTAATCTCAGTATGTTGTCTTAAAGAAGGGAAGATACTGGGCACCGGTAGTTCATGCCTGTAATCCTAGCTACTCAGGAGGCTGAGATCTGAGGATCATGGTTCAAAGCCAGCCCTAGCAAGCCCGTGAAACTCTTATCTACAATCAATCACCAGAAAACCAGAAGTGGCACTGTGGCTCAAGTAGTAGAGCACTAGCCTTGAGCTGAAGAGCTCAAGAGCTGTGGCACAGCACCCAGGCCCAGAGTTCAAGCCCCACGACTGACCAAAAAAAAAAAAAAGAAGGGAAGACGAGAAAGAGGGAAGAAGGGAAGGAGGGAAGAAGGGAGACTTAAGGTCTAGATTGTTTTCCTGGTGAATTCCATAGTCTTAGAGAGGTATTTCAAAAAAGCAGAGCTGGGAATGTGGCTTAGTGGAAGAGTGCTTGCATAGCATGCATGAAGCCCTGGGTTCACTTCCTCAGTACCACATACACAGAAAAGCCGGAAGTAGTGCTGTGGCTCAAGTGGTAGAACACTAGCCTGGGACAGTGCCCAGGCCCTGAGTTCAAGCCCCAGGACAGGCAAAAAAAGGCAGAAAAAGAAATCCTTCAAAATTCCTTTTATGTGGTCGGCATAACTCTAATATCAAAACAAGACAAAAACATTGCAAAAAACGAAAACTGTGGAATCAGAACTACTCATGAAAACTGCAAATGTTTTAAACAAAATATTAGCAACTAGAATCCAACACTATGTATTAAGGAGAGTATGCCAAATCTAACCAGTATTTATCTGAGAAATGCAAGGTTAATTCAATAGTTAAAAAATCCAGAAACAAACTCACCATATTAGCAGAAGTAATGAGAAAAAAAGAAGTAAAGTACTTGACAAAAGGTAACACTCTACCATGTTTAAAAATAATAAGCACTTCACCAAGCTAGGATTGAAAGGAGCTTACATAACCTCATAAAGGGCAGCTAGCAAAATCCCACAGCTTACATAACAGTTAAGGGTGAAAAACCTTGATTCTTCTTCCTAATATCAGGAACAGGGAAAGAAAGCATGCCCACGCTCACAGCACTCAACTATACTTTAGTCTTAGTTTTTTTTTTTTAAAGGAAAGGCAAAGCAATCAAAAGCCTGAGATTGGAAAAGGAGTCAACGTGTCTCTATTTTTAGATAATGATTACTTAGATGAAAAAGCCCCAAGGAACTTATAAGAAAACGAATTAGTAGATTCAGTAACATACAAAGTCAGTGTACAAAAATCAATTGACAGCAATTTGTACTAACAAGCTGAATTTTTTTAAAATTTACATTGTTATTATATATTAGCAAAGAACAATCCCAAAATAAAATTACAATGCAGACATTTATAACAGTTTGAAAAAAAACCTCAAATACTTAGAGATAAATTTAATGAAGGGTGCATAAGACCTCTACATTGAAAAGAATAAAACTCTGCTGAAAGGCATTAAAATACATAAATGACTGCAGAACTATGCCATGCTTAAGATGCCAATTCTCCTAAACTTCATCCTCATGGTCAACTGAACAAAACAGTGGTAGGTTCATGAATTACTTGCATTCTTGCCTTACATTTGCAGTTTTAATGTATTTATTAGGATTTAACCGCTCCGGTAGTTCAGAAAATAAATCAATTTTAGGAAACATGCCAAAGAAATTCAATGAAACAAAGAAAACTTCAACAATTTAGAACAAATAGATATCAATATTTTAAACATGAGCCTTAGCTGGATGCCAGTGGCTCATGACTATAACCCTAGCTATTCAAGATGCTAAGATTATGGTGCAAAGCCAGTCTGGGCAGAAAGGTCCATGAGATTCTTTTTATTTTGCGGAGGGGGGGGGGTCCAGTCGTGGGGCCTGAACTCTGGGCCTGGGTGCTGTCCCTCAGCTCTTCAGCTCAAGGCTAGTGCTCTACCATTTGAGCCACAGAGCCACTTCCGGCTTTTTTCTTTTTGCTTATGTGGTGCTGAGGAATCGAACCCAGGGCCTCATGCATGCAAGGCAAGTGCTCTACCACTGAGCCACCTTCCCAGCCCCCATGGGACTCTTTATCTCCAATTAAGCATAAAAAAGTCAAAAGTGAGCTGGGCACTCGCTGCTCATGCCTGTAATCCTAGCTACTCAGGAAGCTGAGCTCTGAGGATTGTGATTCAAAGCCAGCCCTGGCAGGAAAGACCATGAGACACTTATCTCCAATAAACCACCAGAAAACCAGAAGTGGTTCTATGGCTCAAGTGGTAGAGCACTAGCCTTGAGCTGAGGAGCTAAGGGACAGCACCCAGGCCCAGAGTTCAGGCCCTATGTCCAACAAAAAAAAAATTCAGAAGTAGAGCTGTGGCTCAAGTGGTAGAGTGCAAGCCTTGAACAAACAATGTTCAGGGACAGCACTCAGGCCCTGAGTTGACCAACACACACACACACACACACACACACACACACCACAGAGAGAGAGCCTTGGTCCTTCCATCACATAAATATATAAAAAGAATACTATGCACCTAAAACAAAAAAGATGATTAAAAAAAATCTACTATGCCTGGTGGGGTTCACCTGTAATCCAAGCACGTAGGAGACAGTAGACAGGATTGAACATTTAAGGCCAGTCTAGCCTATATAGAAAGACCTCATTTTCAAAATAAAACAAAACACCCTCAATAATAAGACAAAGACAACAACCCAGTAAAAGCAGGAGACATGAATAGATGTTTCATTAACAAATGTATAAAAGACTCTAAGTGGGGCTGGGAAGGTGGCTCAGTGGTAGAGTGCTTGCCTTGCATGCCTGAGGCCCTGGGTTCGATTCCTCAGCACCACATAAGCAAAAAGAAAAAAGCCAGAAGTGGCACTGTGGCTCAAGTGTTAGAGCGCTAGCCTTGAGCTGAAGAGCTGAGGGACAGCGCCCAGGCCCAGAGTTCACCCCACGACCGGACACAAAAATAAAAATAAAAAAATAAAAGACGCTAAGCACCTTTACTCTCATCAGAGGAATAAAACTTAAATCATACTGCAACACTATTGTGCATACAGTTGAGTAACAAAAATGAAAGACTGATACTAGCAAATGTTGAGAAGGATGTGAAGCAACAGGAATAACTATATTATTGCTCTTGGGAACATAAAATCATATAACTGATTTTGCAGACAGTTTGGCAATCTTTTGGTTAAAGGCCAGTATACATGTATATATGATTCAGCAAGTCCAATCTCTGGAATTTTCCCAAAGGTTAGGATTTAGGTAAAAAATGCCCCCCTAATCCACATATTGAAGACTTGGCTGAAAGCTGATGGTCTTCTGTGAAGTGATTTGATCCTGGGGGCTCTGATCTCATCAAGGGATTAATTCCTTGATGTGGTCATAACAGGATGGCATTATTGGAAGGTAATAAAAACAAAGTTGGGGCCTAGCTGAAGGAAGTAAGTCACTGGGGACATGTAACAAGCCAGCCTGAGAAAAAGAAAACAACAGTTCACAAAAACCCATCTCATCAGAGAAAGCTGGTCATAGTGGCATGTGCTTGTCATCTAAGCTATAACAAAGTATAAATAGGAGGGTTGTGGTCCAGAGTGGCCCACTCAATAAAGGAAAGCCTATCTCAAAAATAACCAGAGCTAAAATGGCTAGAGACATGGCCCAAACAGTAGTGCACCTGTTTGGCAAACATGAAGCCCTAAATTCAAACCTTGGTACCACCAAAACAAACAAAAAACAAAAATAAAAAAACAGGAATGGTTATTTTATAATCCCAGATAGGCAGAGGTAGAAGTAAGAGGATCACAATCTAAAGTCAGGCAAAAAGTATGAGATCCTATTTCACAAATAACCAGAACAAAAAGGGCTAGAAGCATGGCTCTAGTGGTAGAGTGCCTGACCAGCAAGTGAAAGAAATTGAGTTCAAAGTGGCGCTGTAGCTCAAGTGGTAGAGCGCTCGCCTTGAGTTGAAGAGCTGAGGGACAAGGCCCAGGCCCAGAATTCAAGCCCCACGACCAAAAAAAAAAAAAAAAAGAAATTGAGTTCAAACTTCAGTACCACAAAAAAAAAACAACCAAATTTGACTGCAGCAGCTTCATTTATAATTACCAAGTTTTAATAAGCTATCCATAGACACATGTATAGATTAACAAATTATAAGTCTGTTTAAGTACCTTTTATTCAAAATAATTGAGACAAAAAGATTTCTAGATTTTGGAGATTTCTCTGTGTGTATGTGATTACTGGGCCTTAAACTTGAGGCCTAGATGCTATCCCTTAGTTTTTCTACCCAAGCTGGTGCTCTAACACTTAAGTAATAACTCAACTTCTAGCTTTATGCTAGTTAATTAGAGATAGAGTCTTGATGATTTTTCTGCTCAGGCTGGCTTCAAACTGCAGTCCTCACATCTCAGCCCCCTGAGTAGCTAGGATTACAGGTGTGAGCAGAGGTTTTTTTCTTTTTCTTTTAGAATATTTGCATTGATTTTATCAGTTAAAACATCCCTACTTCAAAAATAATTAAGCATCCAGGTACTGGTGGCTCACACCTGATATCTTAGCTACTCAGGGGGCTGAGATCTGGAGATTGCAGTTCAAAGCCAGCCCAGGCAGGAAAGTCCATGAGACTCTTATCTCCAACGAACCACCAAAAAAATGAGAAGTGGTGCTGTAGCTCAAGTGGTAGAGTGCTCAACTTGAGCTGAATAGCTGAGGGACAGCACCCAGGCCCATAGTTAAGCCCCATGACCAACAAAAATAAAATAAAATAAAAATAAGCAATCCAAAATCAGACTTCAGAGCATTTTAGCTTTTTAATTTTTTAATGAGTGATGCTCAACCTCTATAGTCACACCATGGAATATTTCTCAGAATTTAAAAGGAATAAGACTAGTGACATATTTGGTAACAAGGATAAATTACAAAATCATTGTACTAAATGAATGAAGTCAGGCTCAAGAGAATACACAGGATATGATTCCATTTACATGAAGCCCTAATAAAGACAAGTCTCATCTGCAGTGAGGAAAAGCATGTCAATGGTTGCCCAGAACCAAGGTGGTTATGGCTACTGAGTCCAAGGGGCATACAGAAACATTCTGTGTTGGGCTGGGAAGGTGGCTCAGTGGTAGAGCGCTTGCCTTGCATGCCTGAGGCCCTGGGTTCGATTCCTCAGCACCACATAAGCAAAAAGAAAAAAGCTGGAAGTGGCGCTGTGGCTCAAGTGGTAGAACACTAGCCTTGAGCTGAAGAGCTGAGGGACAGCGCCTAGGCCCAGAGTTCAGGCCTATGACTGGACCCCTCCCCCCAAAAAAAGAAACATTCTGTGTAATGGAATGTCACATACATGATTCAGTGGGTTGTTAAACTGGTGTATCTTTATGAAAATACATCAAAATGCACACTTTATTTTTTGGAACACTTCTTAAATTTGCACATCATCCTTGTACAGGGGTCATGCTAATCTTCTGTGTATTGTTCCAATTTTTAGCATCTATACTGCCAAAGTGAGCACAAAGTATACACTTTAAAAGGATACATCTTATTCTATGTAAATAATACCTTAACATTTATTTCAAAAGAAAAAAATGAGCTGGATACCAGTGGCTTATACCTGTAGTCCTAGTTACTCAAGAGGCTCTGATCTGGAGGATCACGTATCAAGGCCAGCCTAAGCAGAAAAGTCCATGAGCCTCCATCTCCAAAACAACCAGCGAAAAACAGGGCTAGAATATGGCTCTAGTGGCAGAATGCCAGTTGGGCAAGTTTGAGGCACTGAGTTCAAACCCCAAATACTGGCAAATAGGAAAGAAAAATTGCTAAGTGACAGTGACCATAAAGTCAGAAGATAGGAAAGAGGATGGAAGGTGTAGAGAAGTGAGGAATCTAAAAGCAAAAGGAATGAAAGCACAGCTTAAATGACAAACATGAGGTCCTGAGTTCCATCCCCCATATTGGGGGGAAAAAACAGTAGCAATGATCACCGGTTTCAGAAGGAAAGAAAATACTTATCTCTGTGCCTGATTCACACTTACCAAAACAGCTCTGATGTGGGACTTCATCCTCCAACATCCATGGTTCCTCTCCTTGCTCCAACTTGAAGATGACCTCTGGCTTTGGAACTTCAAACCCTGTCAAGAGAATATGATAGATAAAGAATTGTGTTCAGACATTTGCTTTCTATTTACTCTTTGGGAAGTAAGTACATTTCTTTGAGAACAGTGCAATAATCACAGAGGTGAAAAGCAGATGAAGGACCTCAGACAAATCAAGGACAATATCATCCCATATGCCACAAGCTCAGCAGGTGGCTCTCTCTCTCTCTCTCTCTCTCTCTCTCTCTCTCTCTCTCACCAAGTCTTTGTTCCTTTTCTAGGGCTACTACATGCAAAAAAGCATTGAGTCAAGTGTCAGTGGCTCACACCTGTAATCCTAGGCTACACAGGAGGCTGACATATGTACATTGCAATTCGAAGCCAGCTTGGGCAGGGAAGTCTGTGAGACTCTTATCACCAATGAAACTACCAAAAAAAGCTGAAAATGGAGCTGTGGTTCAAGTGGTAGAGCATTAGCCTTCAACAAAAGAAGCCCAGGAACAGTGCACAGACCCTAACTTCAAGCCCCAGAACTGGCACCAAAAAAATCATTGAAAATTGGTAGCTTTAACAGCCTCTTCAATAAATGGTGCTGGAAAAATTGGTTAATCACTTGTAGAAAACTAAAGCTAGATCCTTATATATCACCCTGGACCAGAATCAACTCCAAATGGATCAAAGACCTGGTAGTCAAAACAGACACTCTGAAAACATTACAGGATGGAATAGGAGAAACACTAGGTATCCTTGGCACAGGCCGAAATTTTCTTAATAGAGACCCAGAAACACAACAAATCAAAGAAAGGTTGGACAAATGGGATTGCATGAAATTGCAGAGCTTCTGCATGGCAAAGGACATAACTAGCAAATCAATAGAAAGCCCACAGATTGGGAGAAGATCTTCACTAACCATACAACGGACAAGGGTCTCATATCTAAAATATACATGGAACTCAAAAAATTAAATCCCCCAACAACAAATCCTCAGAGAAACAACTCCCCAATAAGTAAGTGGTGTAAAGACTTAAAGAGAAACTTCTCTGAAGAGGAAAGAAGGATGGCCAATAGACACATGAAGAAATGCTCAACCTCTCTAGCCATAAAAGAAATTCAAATCAGGGCTGGGAAGGTGGCTCAGTGGTAGAGCGCATGCCTTGCATGCCAGAGGCCCTGGGTTCAATTCCTCAGCACCACATAAGCAGAAAAATCCGGAAGTGGCTCAAGTGGTAGAGTGCTAGCCTTGAGGTGAAGAGCTGAGGGACAGTGCCCAGGCCCAGAGTTCAGGCCCCATGACCAGACCCAAAAAAAAAAAAAGAAATGCAAATCAAAACACCATTCAGATACCACCTCACCCCAGTTAGAATGGCTATAATCAAGAACTCTAATAACAACAGAAGCTGGAAGGAATGTGAGCAGAAAGGAACCTACTGCATTGTTGGTGGGAATGTAAACTTGTTCACCCACTTTGGAAAGTAGTATGGAGTTTCCTCAAAAGACTCCACATGGAGCTCCCCTATGACCCAGCAATCCCACTTTTGGGCATTTACCCAAATGATCACAAACAAGACCACACTAAAGCTACCAGCACAACTATGTTTATTGCAGCATTATTTACCATAGCTAAGATATGGAACCAACCCAGATGCACTTCTGTAGATGAATGGATCAAGAAAATGTGGTCTATATACACAATGGAATTCTATGCCTCCATCAGAAAGAATGACATTGCCCCATTTGTAAGGAAATGGAAAGACTTGGAAAAAATTATATTAAGGGAAGTAAGCCAGACCCAAAGAAACATAGGTTCCATGATTTCCCTATTTGCAATAGTATATGTCTGAGACAAGCAGAAAAGGTCAGATAAGATGATATTAAGCGAAATAAGCCCCAAGATAAGGACACAAGTGGTTTTTTCTTTCTTGCTATTGTTTCTAACGTATTTTAAAGGTACCACGTGATTTTTTTTTGTTGCTTTGTATGTCCCTCCCCCATGGTATAACCCCTGTTTTCACTGTATTTGATGTTGGTATAATTTGTGGAGGGGAAGGGAAAAAACAAATTGTTTAAATAGGAAACAGGTGGACCCATTGTAACAATGAGATATACAAGACGCTATGTCAAAAAAGAACTTTACAATTTAGGCGGGAGGGTGGGGTGGAGTGTAGTTGTGGAGAAAGGAGGGAGGGATGGCAGGGGAAAAACAAAGGGAGAAGCAACAATGCTTCATAAGAAATGTACTCATTACCTTGCTCATGTAATTATAATCTCTCTGTACAGTATTTTCACAATAAAAAACTTATTTAACGAATGCAGCAATAGTACTCACTGGACACTATGTTGAAAATGAACTTCATACTTGTGGATGGGGGTGGGAAGGAAAAACTGGGAGTGAAGATAGTTATGACATTGCTCAAAAATAAATATACTGTTTACCTGACTTATGTAGCTGTAACCACTCTGTACATCATCTTTATAATAATATTTTTAATTAAAAAAAGAAATAATCTGGGGCTGGGAAGGTGGCTCAGTGGTAGAGCGCTTGCCTTGCATGCCTGAGGCCCTGGGTTCAATTCTTCAGCACCACATAAGCAAAAAGAAAAAAGCTGGAAGTGGCACTGTGGCTCAAGTGGTAGAGTGCTAGCCTTGAGCTGAAGAGCTGCGGGACAGCACCCAGGCCCAGAGTTCAGGCCTCAGGACCGGACCCCCCCCCGCCCCCCAAAAAAAGAAATAATCTGACATTTTGAGGATTATGGGACACTTGTCCTAAACTACCACTAATGCCAGGAGACTTTAATCCTACAGTGACTAACTAGTCAGTGGAGAGAATTATGAAAGAGAAGGGAGTGGCTTGGGGTGTGGCTCAGCAACAGAATACTTGTCTAGCAAGTGTGAGAGTTTGAGTCCATACTCTAGTCTTGCCAAATAAAAAGACAGAGCTTAGCATCACTGGCTAAAGCCTGTAATCCTAGCTACTCAGGGGACTGAGATCTGAGGATTGTGGTTCAAAGTCAGCTAGGGAAGGAAAATCCACAGGACTCTTACCTCAAATTATTCACAAAATAGCCAGAAGTGGAACTGTGACTCAAGTGGTAAAGATCTAGTCTTGAGCAAAATAGCTTATGGACAGTGCCTGGGCCCTGAGTTCCAACACCAGGATCAGCTCAAAAAACAAACAGCTAGGTGCTGATGGATCATGCCTGTAATCCTGGCTACTCTGGAGACTAACATCTGAGGATGATGATTTGAAGCCCATATGTCAGGAAAGCCAGTGAGATTCTTATCTCCAATTAACCACCAGAAAACCAGAAGTGGAGCTATGGCTCCAAGTGGTAAGTGATAGCCTGGAACAAAAGAGCTCAAGGACAGTGCTCAAGCCCAGAGTTCAAGCCTGTCCACAACCCACAAAATATAGAATTGAAGCAGAGAAAGAATGGAGTTTTAGCTCAGGTCACCTCCCAATGGGACCAAGGGGTCCTTGAACCTGTCCTGTGATTATATTCCCAATTCTAGAATATTAACTGGAACCCACAGTCTCAGATATGGCAAAATTGCCATACTGGCTCCCTGACCTGTAACATGAGGGCTCTGATGGTGGGACAGACCAAGTAGAAGCCACTAAAACCTAGGAAAAAAGAAAAGCCAAAGCCATACCATGCTCCTAGAGTGATTTCAGAGACTATTGCTACCATCAAGGACTTGAAAGGGGAGAGCTTGGGACTCCTACCACATCCTCAGTTCATTTTGCCTATGTGACCTACACAGAAAATGCTGGAGAAACATCACAAACTTAACTAGCTGGGGGACTCTACTTACAGGCATTGTTCCAAATGTAGCTTTATTGCTTGAAAAAATTAACCCATTCCTTGCTAAATAGTATATAACAATGGATCCAACAAATGCTTTTTCATGGTACCTGATAGTAAAGACAACTTTTATCTGGCTCCTTATGCTAAATGAACCTACTGAGCAGCAAGCAGCAACTACTCTAGAATTATACGTAAGACATCTGCTTACCAGAGGACAGAAAATGAATCGGGACAAAACTCAATGGTAGTAAAGTAAATGTGACAAAAAGTAGATTTTCTACCTCATAGAAATTTCTAGGGATCCAGTGGTGTGGGGTATGTCAAGACATCCCTTCTAAAGTGAAAGATAAATTTTATCTGGTCCTTTTCACAAGCAAAAAAAAGGCATACTCTGTCACTGGGCCTCTGAGGCCTTTGGTGACAAAAACTCCTTATTTGGTTCTGCTACTCTGACACATTTACTATGAGATTTAAACAGCTGCTAAATATTTGTGTCTGTGTGTGTGCATGCACGCACACACACATATATACATTCACTAACTAGTATTGGAGCTGGAACTCAGAGCCTTGTGTTCTTGCCTAACTTTTTCAAGCCCAGGGCTCTACCACTTGAACTACACCTTCACTTTTAGATTTTTTCTAGTTAACTGGAGATAAGAGTATTTCGGATTTGTCTGCCTGGGCTGGTTTTGAACCAGAATGCTCAGATCTCAGCCTCTTGAGTAGCTAGAATTGCAGTCACTGATGTTTAGCTGAACACGGCTAGTTTGGAGTGGTCACATTATTAACCCATTTCCAAGTATGAAATATTGTGTTGGTTTCCTGGGGCTTCTGTAACAAAATGCCATGAATTAGGAAGCTTACAATAGATGATTAGTATATTATTGTTCTGACAATCAAAAGTCCAAAATCAAGGTGTGAGAGATGAGTCCAGGTTGAGTCACCTAGCTTCCAATAAATTCCAATGTGTCATGTGTAGTAGATTGTCATTCTAATATCAGGCAATTTTCTTCCAGTATGTCTTCACACTATCTTTCTTCTCTCTGTGTGTGTTTCTGTGCCTACATTTTCTCTTTATAAGGACAATAGATTGGATTACCTCAGTATAGCTTCATTACTTCTGTAAAGAGTATTTCCAAATAAAGTTATATACTGTGCACTAAAGTTTTCTTGGGGACACAATTTAGCCTATAATAGGCTCATGCCAGTCCCCACAGGATAGCTATACTTACCCACTGAGAGCAGGTGGCTGTAGTTCTCTAGCATGACATCTTGGTATAGGCATCTTTGAGTAGAGTCCAGTTTCTGCCACTCCTCCCTGCTGAAGTCCACAGTCACATCCTCAAATGACACTGGGACCTGTAACAAGACAGTCTTGTTCAAGGCAACAGATCAAAACTTTGGGAAGAGAAAAGACAGACAAGAAGTTGCCTCTAAGGATTGCCATCATTATATATTGTATGCCTATTGAACACACATAGATATATATCACAGCTGGGCACCAGTGTTTGATGTCTTTAACCTAGCTACTCAGGAGGCTGAGATCTGAAGAGAGTCCATTAGACTCTATCTCCAATTAACCAGAAAAAAACCAGAAATACAGCTATAGCTCAAGTAGTAGAATCCTAGCCTTGGCAAAAAAAAAAAAAAAAAAAGCTCAGGGACAGTACCCAGGCCCTGAGTTTCAGGTCCCAGAATTGGCACCAAAAAAAGTACATAAATCACATCTACCCATGAATTTTAGCTATTTATTATATTTGAGATTTTTGTCTTGCCAAGTTTCTTTTGAATTGATGTCCTTAATCTCATGTGCCACCTCAACATCCAGAGCCATATCTAACAACCAATAAATGAATAAAGTGGACCATAATGGTTTTCCATCAGTACAATAAGCACAATGACCAGTGTCTGAAGGTACAAGAGAGAGACACTAGTGACCTCTGTCATTCACAAGCACGCCAGGGTCCATCTCTCCAAACAATCATCCTCTTTTTGGATGGCTACATCCCACACAGGAAACACTTGTCAACACATCCAAAAGGTTTCTCCAATCCCTTCCCCCAGCTACTGCTCAGCCAATTCTGTGGAGCAGAAGAATGTTATGTGGTTGTCAACATGGACTAGTAGGAATGGTTGTCCTTTGGTGGTTACTCCAATAACAAGAACAAAACTCAAGTTTTCACACACGACTGAGGACCCTTGAAAACACTGAACTTCTCCAGAGCCCTGAAAATAGTTAAGAAATTCCAAGTTTGTCCCAACACTTAGGAGAGGGGAGAGCTGAAACAGGAGGATCACAAGTTCAAGGTCAGCTGGGGTTACATAGTGATTTCAAAGCCAGCCTGGCCTAAACAGCAAGACATTTTCTCAAAAGAAAAAGAAAAAATCCCTATATGTGATCCTTTATGAAGAACTCTTTGCCACAAAGCAATCATTCATTGAGCCTGCCCCTAGCCTTCTGCAAGCTAAGGCTTGTACTCTCTGGCATGAGTCCAGTAAGATTCTCAATTACTCCACTATCTAACAAGGCCAAATATAGACCTTTCCCTATTGGCTGAACCTTCAGACAGGCCTAACATACACTATCCAACTCTGTCCTTTGTCTCATGAATGATTAACAAATCTGTCATCTTCTTGCAACTAGTCAGACACAAAGGCAATCATTTCCTGGTTGGCTGACTGATAAACACTTTCCCTGATTACAACAGAAGAACCTCTTCTGTGAATCTCTTTGACTTTATTGTTGTGGTTGTGGTTGTTTTTGCAATGCTGGAGTTTGAACTCAGGGCCTTAAGCTTGCTAGGCAAGCCCCAAGCTCTTTTTGCTTGGAGTTTACTTTTTAGTTCTCTTTTTACAGTTTTCCCCAGGCTAGTCTCAGACCTCAATCTTCCTACCTATATCTCTCAAGTAGCTTAAACTACAGACATGGACTGCTGAGGGTGGCTTGTTTTCTTGAGGTTGGGAGTCTCACTAACATTTTGCCCTAACTGGCCTTCAATAGTGACCTTCCTAATTGTCACCTTTCAAGTAGCTGGGATCATAGGCATGAGCTACCATGCCCAACCTCTTCATTTATAATTGTCTCTCCTGGGGCTGGGAAGGTGGCTCAGTGGTAGAGCGCTTGCCTTGCATGCCTGAGGCCCTGGGTTCGATTCCTCAGCACCACATAAGCAAAAAAGAAAAAAGCCGGAAGTGGCGCTGTGGCTCATGTGGTAGAGCGCTAGCCTTGAGCTGAAGAGCTGAGGGACAGCGCCCAGGCCCAGAGTTCAAGCCCCATGACCGGACCCCCCAAAAAAAATTGTCTCTCCTCCACACAAAAGTGTAAGGCAGACACCCCTTTCCTACCACGATTTTACTGTTTGAATCTGGGGTGCGCATATTACAATATCCTGAATAAAATCAACTTTCTTGTTCCTTGTTTGGCTTGGCCAATTAGTTTGGTGTTATGACTTGAATAAGACTGGAAACCTACTTCTGAACCCCTATCTCCCCCCAGATATGGGGCCTGTTCAGTCCATCCAGTCCACCTTGCTTCTCTAATTAGTCAGCTGAGGATCTGTGGTAAGTCCTGCTCCTGATCCCTGTACTCTGGACACTGTCCCTGATAGTTTAGTAAGGCTGTAGATTTTCTCTTTATTGTGATAGTATTGGGATTTGAACTCAGGACTTCACACTTGCTAGATGTTCTATCCTTTTAGTCACATCTCCATTCAATATGTCATTTTCATTCTTTGAGTGCTCTTTTGGTTTTCTTTTGTGGCTGGCTTTTGTATAAGTTTAGTACTCATTGGAAACTTTCAAGCTCTTCACAAAACTCTTGCTGATTCTATACTTTGCCACCATGTTAACAACTCAGTTCATTACCTTCCAAAATGTCATAATTGTACTAAGGACCACTTAGAACTCTAATGGCCAATTTACAACACTTAAGAGCTTCTGAATCACATTCATTTGTACAGTATTCTAAATCTCAGCGCTTTTTTATATACAAGTCTGAAAACCTAGAAAAAGCTGAAAATCTATCTCAAAATGCACAGTTGTTTAAAAATGGTTGGTCTCAGCTGGGCACTGCTGGCTTGAGCCTCTAATCCAAGCTACTCAGGAGGCTGAGATCTGAGCATCACAGTGTAAAGCCAGCGTGGGCAGGAAAAGTCCATGATACTCTTATCTCCAATTAACCACCAAAAAGCTAAATGGAGCTGTGTTTCAAGTGGTATAGTTTTAGCCTTGAGCACAAAATCTCAGGGACAATGCCCAGGCCCTGAGTTCAAGTCCTAGAACTGGCATAAAAAAGGTGGGTCTCTCATCTGGGAGGGGTGATACATGTCTATGGACCCAGATACTCTGGAGGCAGAGTTAGTAGGAATCTTGTATGAAGTTTGTTTGCTCAGGCAAAGTTAGTGAGATTCTACTTCAAAAACAAACTAAAAGCAAAGGACTAGAGACATGGCTCAAGTAGTAGGACATTTGCTTTGGAAGCACAAGGCCCTGAGTTTAGTTCCAGACTGTCAAAAAAGTAGATTATCTTGTGCTACCATGTCCTCTTTCTTTTACTCTTTTACAAACTAAACTGCACAACCTTTTCTGACCTGAAACTCCATGTGTGCCAGCCCAGCCCTTTTCCAACCCCCCGCCCCCACATTCCACCTCATCGTGAAGATTCTACTCCTTCAACTTCCCATTTCTTTACCTTATCTGGTGCTCTTAAAATTCTCCTGTTCACTGGACGGTGGTGGCTCACACTTGTAATCCTAGCTACTCAGGAGGCTGAGATCTGAGGATCATGGTTCATAGACAGCCCAGGCAGGAAAGTCTGTGAGATTCTTATCTCTAGTAAACCACCAGAAAACTGGAAGTGGTGCTATGGCTTAAGTGGTAGAGCACTAGCCTTGAGCTGAAGTGCTGAGGGACAGCGCCCAGGCACAGAGTTCAAATCCCACAACTGACCCAAAAAACTCTCCTATTCTTCTTGAGCATAGTGACTTAGAGACAATGTATATCCGTTTTACTGATATGATTGTGGACTTCATGGTTGTTGTTGAACTACTGGGTTACAACAAAAATTAGATGAATTTTGCTTCTAAAGGATTCACTTGATAAGAACCAACTTTGAACAGCCATGAGAAAATCAAATAATAGATGTCAATACAAGTAGTGCATACAATTAATTAGTTTAGGAGTCTGAATTCCTCAATGGAGCCTTAAATCAATGTGGTTTCAATCAATGGTTTGTTCATTGAATGGTTTCCAAAAAACTGTATATAATCTTAACTGAGAAGTATACAAACAAGTATGGTATCAAACATGAGCTTTAAACTGAAGTATATAAACATTCATTTCACAACCAGTTTGTATGGCTGTGATGCAATTCACTGCATTATATTTTTCAATGGTGAACTTGAGCCCTCATCTTATTCAACAGGTACGTGTTACAAGTGCATTGTTGTTGGTGTTAATGGGAGAATGCATTCCTTCATTGTACTTGGGCCTTTTGTATTGCACTCTTGATATTAAATTAAATGTGTCTTCAAAAAAATTCTCCTTTTCTTAGAGTTGGAGGCATGGCTCAGTTGGTAGAGTGCTAGCCAATGAGCCAAAGCATCAGGTACTGAGTTCAAGTCCCAGCCTTGGACCAAAAAAAATTCTCCTGTTCCCAAATCTCCATCCTAGCCTGTATTGTTGGCCTTTCTCTACTTGGAATGGAAAGAATGTCAAGGACCTAAGCACTCACCTGAACAAATCATCTGTAGGCTTTAGGCTCATTAAGATTACATGTTACATGTTTTTAGTGGTTACACTAATTTATATTCCCACACATCCCTTTATCCCATACCTTTATACCCATTTCCTGTTCTTTGTTTTCTTGATAGATGTCATTCTGACATGGGGGATGGAATCTCAGTATTGTTTCAAGTTACATTTTCTTTATAGTTAAAGGTGTTGAACATTTCTTCATCCACTTATTGGCCACTTGTACATCTACTTTTGAGAGCCATCTATTCAATTCTGAAGGTTTTGGAGTTTTAGTTGTAAACATCTTTCACTTCCTTAGTTAATGCCTGTGTATTTTATTTTATTGTTTTTGTGACTTTTTGTGAATTGTTTTCCTGATTTCTTTCTCAGCTTGTTCATTATTGGAAAATAAGTAAAGCTACTGATACTTGAAAAAAAAAAGATTACATGTTTTTGTTAAAGACTTTCCAGACCTCTGTAAAAATAGAGAAACACTGCTGGACATACATAGCTCATACCTGTAATCCTAGCTAATGAGGAGACTGAGATTGAGAGGACTACAATTGCCTTCTCACCGTGTCTTCAAATAATAATCCTCAGATCTCAACCTCCTAAATTGTTAGATTTACACATATGAGCCACCGGTGCATGGATTTTTTGATTTTTTTGCCAGTCCTGGGGCTTGAACTCAGGGCCTGGGCACTTCCCTGAGCTTCTTTTGCTCAAGGCTAGCACTCTACCACTTGAGCCACAGCACCACTTCTGGCTTTTTCTGTATATGTGGTACTGAGGAATCGAACCCAGGGCTTCATGCATGCTACAAAAGCACTCTTACCACTAAGCCACATTCCTAGCCTGATTTTTTTTAAATTAATGTGGCCAACTGGTGGTATGGCTCAATGGTACAAAGTTTGCTTAACATTGTGAGGCCCTGGGTTCCAGTTCCAGCACTGCCAAAAAGAAAAAGTAAAATAAAGAAAGCAATGTTTACAAAGTAAAATGAAGAAACAATATCTTTAAGTTCTGAAGACTCTGGATAAATTTTTGATGTGCTACCTCTTCTCTCTCCTCACCTCATATGCTTTGCCATGTTCTCCTGGGTGGAGAGAGTTCTCTGTAGAGGCTGCCATGCTCAGGTTGGACCTTTCTCTGGGTTCTCTTGCTGACAACTCCACACTTTCCAGGTTCTTCAAGCTTTAGGAATCCGTGGTCTCAAATTGAGTTGCTGGGGTCTGAAAGAAGATCCTACAGCCTTCACTAAGGGGTCTCAGCCAAGGACTCTGCAGAGACTCTAAGCAACTTTGAAAGACAGAGCACATATGCCACACTCATACAACATGCCACATAAGCATTTTCTGGTGGCCTCAAAGTATAGTTGAATATTGTGGGGCAGACAATGTCCCAGAAACATACACTTTGCATACACTTTGTCCCAAGACAATGAGATATATACTAAATTAATAAAAGATTAAATTCTAGCCCCACCAACTTTTAGCTATGAAACTATTCAAAAGCTCCCTTGGATCAGGGACCTGTGTAGACCATTATTTTTTATAAAGATATGAAGTAAGTCAATAGATGAATGTTTCAATAAGTGTGGCTGGAACAATTGGATATCTATGACCAAATAAGCATGTGGGGACCTAAATTCCACATGTTATACAAAAATTAACTCACAATGTGTAATTGACAAAAACAGAAAGGAACAAATTATCATCAGAGTGGAGAATCTCTCCTTTCTCAGTAATGGAAGAAGCATATTAAAAAAAAGCTCTAAATTTTGCATGACACAATCAACATGATTAAACACTGTTTTTGAACTAAAGTCAGAACACTGCAAAAAATTCACCACAGATTAGGCCATCAATCTCTCATTTCAAGAATGAGCTTTATATAGGCATTTTTCCTCACACAGAAATACTAAGATTAGAAATCCATTAAGATGATAAATTTAGGAAGCCAAGTGGTGGCTCCAGCTGTAATCCTAACACTCAAAATGCTGAGGCAGGAGGATATAGAGTTCAAGGCTAGCCTGAGCTACTTTGCAAGACCCTATGCATCAAAAATAAAAATAATAAAATAAAAACTTGAGGTGATCGAAACCACACTTCCAAATAAGTCCTAGGTAAAAGATATTGTTAACTCTTTAAAATACTGAAAATAGTGCACCAAACCGGTGGGTCTTAAATGGGTCTCAAAGTTCACTTTAAAACCTTAAGGTTGATATTCGAAAATAGAAAGCTTAAAAAATAATGGGCCAATCATCCAACTAAAGTTAGACAAATGATGCTACCCTGGATCCCACAGAGTCCCCAGCACTCACCCTCCAGGGCCGCTCATTATCTCATCCCTCCCCACAGAGTTGACTCCGCTTGACAACTATCAAGCCGCCTCTTCCGGTCACCACCCTAGGAACGCCCCTTCTCGGGATTTGGTGCTTCGCTCCGAGGTTTAAAGGATTATCTGCGCTTGCGCAAAGCAAATCACAGCGTCAGCACCGGGCTTTGGGGGTGTTGGAGGCTCCTCAACAGCATTGTTAGGCAGAGAACATGGCCGCGCCCAGTTCTGACGGGCTCCATGGGGTACGCCATATTGAAAGTGGATCATTCCGTACGGAAGAGTGGGACGCCAACAAAACTCAGCAGAGATGTGGGGCTGTGTAGCTGGCAGCGGGGAGCAGGGCTGGAGATGATTCTCTGGGCTGGCTCACTACAGGATGGAGGCAGTCCGAATCTATACAGATCTGTGCAATACTCCTTCGACAAGCTGCGGGGGCCTCTTAGAAAAAATGGAAAAGTGTTTTCGGTCCTGTAAGCCAGAGGAGGAGCTGTGCTAATTGGGGCATGGCTGTGGAGTTTGAATGCTCCCGTAATCTACTCCATCTTCCCATCTGTCTATCTCAACTAAACAGTATTGCCAATAAAAATTTTAATATATCTTTAATGTTCTATCAGTAAAACTTTTCCAGTTTGCCAAGGGCAAATGCATGTAATCCTACTCACAAGACTGATATCTGAGGATTGTGGTTCAAAGCCAACCAGGTAAAAAAAATCCCCTGAGATTCTTAACTCCAATTAGACAACACAAAGCTAGAAGTGGAGCTGTGATTCAAGTGGTAAAGTATCACCATTGAGGGAAAAAAAAATTTAAGGAATAGCACTCAGGCTCTGATTTCAAGTGGCAGTACCAGCACCCAAAAAGAGAAGATCCACCATTTTAAAATTTCCTCATGATGCCGGGCCCTGGTGGCTCACGCCTGTAATCCTAGCTACTCAGGAGGCTGAGATCTGAGGATTGCGGTTCAAAGCCAGCCCGGGCAGGAAAGACTGTGGGACTCCTATCTCCAATAAACCACCAGAAAACCAGAGGTGGCGTTGTAGCTCAAGTGGTAGAGAGCTCGCCTTGAGCTGAAGAGCTGAGGGACAGTGCCCAGGCCCAGAGTTCAAGCCCCACGACTGACCAAAAAAAATTTTTTTTTCTTCATGATGTAAAATCTATGAAAACTGGGTGTGGTGGGGCATACTTATAATCCTAGCAGTTTAGAAGCTGAGACAGAAGGATCAAAACTTGGAAGCCACCCTGGTCTGATATATAGTAAGTTCAAGATCAGTCTGAACTGCATAATGAGGCTCTTACTCAAAAGGGCTGAGATGTAGCTCAGTGGTAGAGCACATACCTAATATATGCAAGGCCTGAGTTCAATTCCCCAGCACTGCCCCTCCGCCCCCCCCTCGAAAAAAACTATCTATATAGTAATAATGTCCTTATTTTACAAATGCAGTCTTAAATATAAGCCTGCTTCTGTCCCATCTTACTTTCAATGTGGAATTCTGGAGATGCCCCTGTCCTTCTGAGAGAACTCTTTGTGCCTTTCATCTAATAATACAAACCCATACCCGTAATCTTAACTACTCAGCAGACTAAGATCTGAGAATGGAGGTTCAAAATCAGATCATGCAGCAGTCCATGAGACTCGTATCTCCAATTAACTAGCATAAAGCCAGAAGTGGAACTGTGGCTCAAGTAGTAGAGTGCCCGCATTGAGCACAAAAGCTAAGGGACAGTGCCCAGGCCCTGATGAGTTGAAGCTCCAGGTCAAATTTCAGTATGTTCCTACCTGGGGAATCCTCTGAATAGAAGTAGAAGACTCTGTACCCTGCTGAGGCCTTTCTCAATCCTCTGGTGAGAAAAGTAATTGTGTGTGTGTGTGTGTGTGTGTGTGTGTGTGTGTGTGTGTGCACATGCGCACATGCAGGCTGATTCTGTAACTTGAACTCAGGGCCTGGACACTGTCCCTGAACTTCTTTGTGCTCAAGGCTAGCACTTTACTACTTGAGCCACAGTGCCACTTTGGGAGTTTTCTTAGTAGTTTACTGAAGATAAGAGTCTCACAGACTTTTCTGCCTCAACTGGCTTCCAGTTGTGATCCTCAAATCTATTGAGTAGCTATGATTATAGGCATAAGCCACCAGCAGCCAGCTGAGAAAAGTACTTTGGTAAGACCTGGCCAGGCTGATGTGTGGACTTGCTGGAACTCTCATTCTATTTACCCCTAGGGGCCTGAATTTAACAAACTGGGAATACAAGAGGTCTCTTACTCTAATTGGCCTAAGACATCAGGAACTAGTTTGTAGTTTGACAGATTCATCCATCAATAAGATACACCAGGGAAACAATGTGGCAGCTCACTAAACAAAAGAAAAAATTGAAATCCTTTAGGATTCTGAGGAACTGAATAATTCAAATTAGATTTAGATGAAGGAGGAGCACCAGGTAGGGCTAGTCTGTTAAGTGAACCCAGAGTGCTGTTACCTTGGAAACACTTAAGGTAGATCTTTGATGTTCTGTCTAGAAATTTCATAACTGGAGCTGTGCACCTGGGTTGGAAATCAAGGCTTGCTTTTCTGTGTCTAAGTAGCAGAATCTCCTATAAGAGTCACGCGTTTTGCTTTTACTTATGTATTATTTCAAACAGCAAAGTTTCTGATGGTGGAAAACAGAGTTTCCCAATGATTATAGTACTGCCATAAGGAAGCTCTATTTGGAAACATGGCTCACGTGGTAGAATACCTGTCTAGGCAAGTGTGGGGCTCTGAATTCACCAAAAGAAGAAGAGGGGCTGGGATGTAGCTCAGTGGCAAATTGTTTGCCAAGCAAGTGCAACATCCTGGGTTTGACCCCCAGTACCAAAAAAGAAAAGACAAAAAAAAAGAGGGGGAGGAGTCCTTACTTGGAACAGTAGCCACTCAAAATAAGTTTCTTTTTGGCAGTATAGCCATAATGTTCTAGAGAAATGTTTGCTGTTTATTTTGCATTTGGATTTATCCATGTCTATTCTCACATCTTGAATGGTAAGACATTTTTGCCTTCTCTGATAATCCCATATTGCCTTTCTTCTTCAGAATCCCTGGTCTATATCAATATTTGTTGAATAAATGAGAAAAAAATAGAAGCAGAAAAAGTACATATGACATGAATACACTAACAGAGTACCAGGAATTATTGTTAATGTTTCTGACGTTCATAATGGCATTATACTTATGTTAGAAAAAAGTAAATCTGCTTCAGAAAAGAAGAAACAATAGAGCCCGTAGCTAGAAGAAGAAAATGAAAATGCAAGACTGGTGGGGTGCTGGTGACTCATGCCTGTAATCCTAGCTACTCAGAAGGCTGACCTGAGGATCATAGCTCGAAGCCAGCCCAGACAGGAAAGTCTGTGTGACTCTTATCTCCAATTAATCATAGGAAAGGCTAGCCTCTGTGGCTCAAGTGGTAGAATACTAGCCTTGAGTAAAAGGAGCCTAGGGACTGCACCCAAGCCCAGAGTTCAAGCCTTAGGTCAACAGAAAGCAAAAGGTGAGGCTGTCTGCTAAAAGCAAGAGTTGGAGAGTATATGTACCCATGAGATATTCTTTGCATGATTAGAAGAATGGCAATCAGCCAGTGGTTCGCAATTATAATGCTAGCTACTAAGGAGGCTGAGACCTGGAGGATAAAGTTTTGAACCCATTACAGGCCAAAAAAAAAAAATCCTGAAGACTCCATCTTCAATTAACTAGCAAAATGCCATACTGGAAGCCAGGCACCAGTGGCTCACAGCTATAATCCTCACTACTCACGAGGATCATAGTTTAAGGCCAACCCAGGCAAAAAAGTCTGTGAGACTCTTACCTCCAATTAATTGCCAGAAAGCCAGAAGTGGAGCTGTGGCTCAAGTGATAGAGTACTAGCCTTGAGGATAAGACCTCAGGGAAAGTGCCAAGGCCTTGAGTTTAAGCTCCAGGACTAGCAAAAAATGCCAAACTGGAGGTGTGGCTCAAATGGTAGAGCACCAGCTGTGAGTAAAAAAGCCAAGCCAGAGCACAAAGCCCTGTATACCAGCTCTGGTACCAGCACACACAAAAGAATAGTTAACTATTTCTTCTTTTTTCTCTTCCCATTTCCTGGAACTCATTTTGATAAAAACTATTTTGTATTATTAGAAACACATAGGCATTGTACCTTTGTGTTCCTCCCCTAAGACTATCCTCCTTTCATTTTGTGTGAATGTCAAGAGTCATGCATAATTTATTATGTCCCAGTGTATTTTCAATCTAGCTTCTGCATATGATAGAAAACATGCACTGTTTGTTTCGCTGAGCTTGGCTTACACCATTCTCTCTTATAGTGAATATTCACATGCCTCCCAATCCACTAAGTGTAGTTTTAGGAGTAAATCTACGAGAGATACTTGTGAAAGAAACATAAATGTCTATGACTTTTGATTTACAGCAACAAAATGAGTCATAGTGATCCAAGACAGTGCTTATCAATATGGAGGAAAATTAAGGGGAAAAACTGTAATCCCAAAAGACTATATAAGGCATAGATCACTAGTCTTGAGGGGGAAAAAACTAAACTAAACTAAGGGAGAACGTGAGGCCCTGAGTTCAATTCCCAGTTCCAATACAAAAATAAGTAAATAAAGCATAACCCGTGTATATAAATCTACAAGCCACTAATATAATGATTTAGGATTTATGTGTACAATACCATCAGAGAAGACTGAAAGACAGAGGGGGAAGAGGGAAACTGGGATAGGTGGGGATTAATTAATTCTAAAGTCATACTTTTTCTTCTGGTGTTAGAGGCAGAAGTACTAATTATATTACTGAAAACAGTTAAATCAATTGAGAAAATTAAAATGTTAGATAAACCTGCTTGAGAGAGGGGGGAGAGAGGGGGGAGGGAGGGAGGGAGGGAGGGAGAGGGAGAGGGAAAGGGAGAGAGGGAGAGACTGTGTGTGTTTGGAGAAAAGTACTGTCCCTTGAGTGGGGCAAAAAAAATCTTTGGTTCTAGACCAGAGACACC